CTGCGAAGGATTATGCGACGCGACACTCTAAACGCCGTGGCCGCCTTGCTTGCCTACATTTTGCCAAGCCATTTTTGAATGTAAAGTTTTGGCCTTTTGTAAGACACAACCAATTTTAGTCAAAACATTGAAATAAAATGTCAAATTTTGCCTTTCTTAACCGACCAAAAGTTGGCCTTCTCTCTTGAAAGGAGACCACATATTTTGGCAAGCAGAGAGGTCAAAAATTGGCAGCCTTTAAAAGAAAGCGAAAAGTTTGACAAGGTTTTGCAGGGTGACCGCAGCGTTGAGTGGACAAAGGAAATTCGAATAAGCGTTTGAAACGATCTATGAGGATGTTGCCCGATAAGAGAAACAAGAAGAAGGTAGCCCTATGGAGAGATGGCGAGGCGTAGCGCCGTCCCTAAACAAAGCAGAACGCAGGCGACCATGATGTGTTTCGCCGCGAATGCATTTGTGATCATCGGCTCCTACTAAAACAAGTTTTGTAGAATTTGTGAAAATAAAAATAGGTCTCTATTGTATTCGAGTAGCATTTTGTGTCTAGAAGTGTTTCTGTAAAGTTTGGCTTCGGAAAAATGAGTTTACACAATCTTCTAAACCTGGTGTCGTTAGCTAGGTTAGAGTACGGACATATTTCACTGGTTTAATTTTAACTAAATTACATTGACTCTATACTGTCGAACTAAACTTTTCGTCCGGGTGGTACCAAGGTTCTACATGCATATGCCCGTGCTTAACTGTTTGAAGTCTAACGACACGCATCCTAATCTCAGCCAGACTGTCGCTCATCTTCTGCTTTGTTTAGGTAGGGACGGCGCTACGCCCCGCCCCCGCCCCACCCGCGCTACCTTCTTTTTGTTCCTCTTATCGGGCAACTGCCTCATTTCAAATCGTGCTCAAATTCGCGTCCTACTAAGACGGAATGGGGAGGAACGCCGACGAGTTGGCGGGTTTGGGTCAAAACTCCTTCAAGAGAAGCAGAACAGAAACGCCAACACCTCCTGCTCGAGAGCGCGTGGTCCTGGGTCAGGCAAGAAGCTACCCCTCCCCGCTCCCCTCGGGAGCAGGGAGCCATTGGTAGAAACAGTTGTAGCGCGGATTAAGCCGAGGCGTCGATTTGAGGAAAACAGTTCTGTAATTGACTACGGCTCGGCTCAACTTGTGCCGGTCCGCCTGGCCCGCTAGCCGGCAGGGCCGTGCGGCGGCGGGTCCCCCCGGAAAGTTTCACGGCGAGCCGTTGTCCCCCTCCCCCGCCCCCCACCTCCGCCTCCTACTCCAAACCCCCACCCCCCGCTGCGACCAAACTCATTCAATACGAAAAAAAAAAGAAATTAGCGAAACCAGCTTTCCGTGTGGCGAATGGGGGTTCGTGAAGAATTTATAAGTTTTAAGTGTATCAGCGCGCGGTGGGCAGCATAGGTGGAAAATTAATGGAGTTCTAAAGCCGGGTAGGAAATGGGACGAGGACGGGGGCGGGCGGCGGGGAAGGGGGTCGGTTTAAATTTCTGGCATTCTGAGATAAGAGGAAACAGGGGGTGGACACAGCGTGTGTGCTGAGGCTCAGGTCTGGACAGGGTGCGAGTGTGTCTGTGTGTGTGTGAGCACAGAGAGTTTTCAGTGAGTGAGTGTGTGTGTGTGTGTGCTGAGCCGCCGCTCTGACCGCCACCGTGGTTGCATGAGACGGCGCGCATGGGGAAGCGGAGCGCTGGGGGCGGGGGAGAAAGAGGCAAATAGACAAGTGATACGACTAGAGTCCTAACAATAGAACTTCCAGTAGAAATAGATCGTGCTCGTGCTCATGGCACATTATACTGACTAAATTTATAAGTGGGAGATGAACTTTTTCTTTTAAAAAACTCAATCAAGAATCGATCTTGAAAGCAGATTATACAAATTTATGAATATGGCTACCGGCTATCTTCTTATTTTCTCTCATTAGCTGCAATCTGTTTGGTTGCTTGCAATCGTGCAATTCGGTGGCCTAATGGCGTAGAGGAGGACATGTACGGGTGGGGGGTGGGGAGCGGCGGCGGCCCAGTATTGTTGGCCAGGAAAAGGGCCTACTTGCTGACACCTTAAAGTTAAGTTACTTATGTTTTCTTTAAATTTAGTGAAAGAATTTAAAGTCTCGGTATCATCTGCTAAAAAGAATAGACATACCCCAAGACCTCAGGCGGCTAGCCGTCAGATCGGGTAGGGTCGGGTTCAAACTCTCGAGGCGTGTCGGATTTGTCAGCGGCACGCAAAACCCAACCGATCCGGAGCAGTAATTGAGGGCGAGTATTGTGTTTTTGCCAAGAGCTTACATAACGCGGAAACATTTATGTGTCCAGCGCACACTGCTTGCACATTAAGTGCACGGCAATAGAGACAGGGTTCAAGAGAAAGTGACAAAAAAAGGCAATCAAGAAAAATATATTTGGGTCGAGAGACAAAACGATTAGTGCCCGGAGAAAAATTGATTCTTAAAGGAGAACTGTATGAAAATGCCTGGTCTTTAATGTAAAAATCAACGGCGTACTTAAAATTAAAATTTTAAACTAGTTAACAGTTTTAAGTTATTGCAATTATAATTTAAAATTGCGAAAATTGTGCTTTATTCTATGCTTCGTCAGTGCGGCTCCCTCCTTGAGTCCATTAAAGTCACTTTTACGTACATGAGACAGAGACGGCGGGGATCTCGAGGCGTGGCGTGAGCCGAGCGTGCCGGCCCAGCCAGGGCCTAGCCCGGGCCGGGCCCAGCCCCGCCGGCAAAGGCCGTAAGCCGGAAGACTCAGTAGCAGTCTGAGCACGCCGCCGCCAGCCCGGGCTGGGCCCCCACCCCAGCCAACGTTTCGTCACTAACGGCTAGTTTCGGAACACCCTCAACACTTGTCCAGGGGCCAGTAGCAGCGTGGCGGGGCGGGGCTG